GATTGTTTATTTATACGACTATATTGTTTATTAGGCGGCTTAGTGGAGTAATGGATAGCGGCTCATATTGAGGAATTGGAGAGCTGAGTTTGAATTCCATTCAGATCCATTACATTCACTTACATGCTGATACCCTTGCGAAAGATATGAATCCTCTTCTTCACCCTCCAGCTTGGTTCTATTGCCTTGGGTGGCAACTGGTCTAGGAGAAGGTAACTCTGAATTCAAAAAAACGACTTGAAGAGGGTTAGGCTTCATTAAGCTATCTTGTCCAAGAAAAAAAAACACTTCTACTGTGGCTGCAGTACATGTGATACCCTGATGAGCCACAGGATTTGCGATCACTTATTGGAATAGTTCATAAAATATCTGTTAATTGTCAGTTGATTCAAACTTTACAAAATTGTAAACAATAAGGATTTCCTTAGCTTACACATTTTATTTTGTAAATGTTTATAAATAAAAAATTCTCATATTTATTTCTTTATAAATTGGTAAATGATAAATATTGTATTGCATTGTGTTTTAGAATGTTGTAAATATACAATTCTTATAAATAACTGTTTAAAAAATTTGTAGATTCAAAGTACAAAATAATGTATAAATTCATTTTCATCATATAGGTCATTGCTTTTTAAAACAATATACATTGCCAAAGAGTGAAGGTAGTTAAAATAATAGCAGAATCAAAGGAAAACTCAGTTTTTTGCAGCCATAAAGGTCCAAGTATTTTTATAGTAAATTCACAATTGGGTTTTGATATAATAGTGATTTTCTAAAAGTAGCTTAGATGTGGTGCAAGGCCAAATTGAGGCCTGTTCTACTTAGATGTGATTCATTACATATTAGATCAAATTCTGTGGCAACATTTTCAGGGAAATTAACATAAAAACCCTGATGAATATCTCTCTTGTTTTTTCTTTCTCACCAAGACCTGTTCAAAGTTACCATTCCTTGTGTCCTGCTTTCCTCCAGGATGAACAACCTATAGCAAGGTTTCCCACACCATCTTGCATGATGTTGGCCTTCTTCAGTGTGTACTTGATGCAATCTCTATATCTCAGTTTTGGTTTGTGTGTTGGTCTCATTCCTTCAGTTAACACACCATGAATAATTTGCTTAGGTATAAACCTTGTTTGAGCATCACTTAAGAATATTAAGGTATAAAAAAAAATCATACCTACATAGCTCAAGGATGCATACAATTTATTAATAAGGCAAAGAAGAAATATGAAACTTTTATCAATCTAACATATTTCTCTTTTATTAAAGCTTCATCAGAGAATGAGATATGGAGAAAAAGAAGAAAGAAATTCTGGTATTTTTTTTTTATTTTTGTGGTTTTTGATTTAAAATTGTTAAATAAACTTGTTAAACAAATTTACATTATTATATATGTACATTTCTATAGACAAATGATTAGCAGTTTTATCAGTTCATAATTTATGGAATGTCATAAAAATGTACTTCTTTTGCAGGCATATCTAAGCTTAATAAATATTTAATAGCGTGTGTGTATGGGTGTATTTACCAAGAGTAAATATGCCTCTCTAATAGGGAATTTATTTAATAATGCAAAAGATGATGTGACTTTATATATTTATCAAACATACAACCTTATCATGACTTAGTTATGAAATATTCAATTGAATTCAAATGCTTAAAAAAGTAAACATGTCTTTCTAATAGGGAATCTATTTATCCTGTAATGTAAAAGATGATGTGACTTTATATATTTATCAAACATACAACCTTATCTTGACTTAGCTATGAAATATTCGATTGAATTCAAATTAGTCATTACCAGGTTGTAGTTTTGTTGCAGGTATAGATAATATTTTTATTATTGACTTACCAACTTTCAGTGACTTTAATGAATCAAACCTATCATGTAATTTAGTGGAGGATTTTTCTAATCATAGATTAGATTCCATTGTCATTATTTCTTAATTAAAAAATTCCATCTGGTGAAAATTTCTATGCTAGGCCTACTGAAGAGGTTATTAGAGACCAACATATGTGATGATTATTTCAATCACCTTATTTTCCCTTTTTCTCTTTTTTTAATCATTTCACACCAAGCAAGGCGATAATTCCACAAGGGGTTACTGAAAGTGAAAGAAACAGGAAACAGTATTGGGAAGAGAGTAAACAATAAAATACCAGGATTCAAGGAGATAGAAGATAATGACAGATGTTGCATTTATATTTTTGAAGATCGTAGTTGAAAGGAAAGCAAAATTCTCTAAAAGGGTTGATTGGTTGATTGATTTTCTACAGCTTTTCAAGCCTTTGCATGTTATTTAAAGCCAGAAAATATTTTTGATTGTAAGAATTTTTTGTGATAATTGTTTTACTAGTTTTATCAAGAGTTCTTTCTCATTCAAAAATATATTTTACTTGACATGTTGGCCAGATGTGAGTGCTAAGAAAGCAAAACTCGAAAAAGTTGTCTTCTGCGCAGGGGCTCCAAGCATCACACCCAGTCCACAAAACAAATCCCTGTAAAAATCTAAAATACAATAGCCAAACATGAATGTTGCTGCTGCTGCTGCAAAAAAAAAAAATTGGATGAGCCTGGGAGCCAACACCTATTAAACCACAGATATACAAATGGCATGCCTCACTGACAACAGGCAGTTTGACTCAACCTCATCACCAGATCATTGACCCATCCACATACCTCACCAGTGTCAATTTCAATCTTGATGATAGATAGAACAACACCCTACTCATGCTATCATGAGGATTCACTCCAGGCCTCTCCCGTTGCATCACTATGACCCTTGGTCAAGCAACCCAACAAATCCTTTAACTCTTGGTCTTACCAACAACACCCTTACATGTAATCACTTTTCTTGCCAATGGCAACTAAAGAACCACATATCAACAATTTTGTCACCCTTTCACACAACTAATTTGAAATTGTTGAAATTTTGACGCTTATTTGTTCCTTCCTTGCAACCATACACTCAGTTTAGTGGTTTAGTAATACAAGTCTTACTAATTAGCCCATAGCTGGAGGGGGAGAAGAGATGGTTTTCCAAGGGTATTTGTGCATAACTGAATATAATATACACAATGAGAATTAGAACTCTGCTCTCTGATTAACAATTCAGAGTCTTTATCCATTACACCACCCGCACATCCAAGCTTACAGCATCTGGTATTCCCAAGCAGTCACGCATGTAGATACTGACCAGGCTTGATGTTGCTTAACTTCAGTGATCATACAAGCAAAAATATAAGCCAACTACAACATCAGCATGGCTCAGTGGATAAAAGCATTGGCTGAATAATCCTAAAAGTGACTTGACTCAAAGAGCTGTGAGTTCAATCCCTGACAGAGAGAACAAAAACATGGAAAGTTATCAAGGGAAATTAACTAAAACTAAGATATCCACATGGACTAAATAAAGGTTTTAGTTTGAAATTCCAACAAAGATCACCTGAAGAAGGCCGGAGCATTCAATGGTTGAAATGTGAATGTAGCAAAAAAGAGGAGGACAACAATCCAAACAATGTAAATAGTATAAATAGTTACAATAACACATCTCAGAAATATAGATAGATACAATATCAAACTACTGCAAATCCAAGACAAAACGATTATCGATATATGATGAAAAATTTTTTTTTTTTTTTTTTTTTTTTTATCTCTTCAGGACAGAGGCAACCATGTCTCTCAACAGATTGCTTTTCTTTATTATCTGTAAATTACCATGACTTCTTGGGAAAGATAGTGAAGTAGTTTACTGTTGCCTTCTCCTATACTGGCTGCCCCTCAAGGTAAGAGAGATTAATATCGTGCCATTTAACTTATAGCTGTAGGGGATGTGATAGATTCAGCCTTTTCTCGAAGGCATTAGTGTGAAAGTGACTGCAACAAACTAGACTGGAATTTGAACATTCATTTGTCATTTCCCCTTTTTGCACTGATAAGTTATGCAACTTGCACCTCTCTGTCTGTCTCTCTCTCTATTTTTCTCTATCTAGCTCTCTCATATATATTGTGTAACTTCACAGAGACTTGGATGGTAAGCAGAAGTGCTGATTCCCATGTAAATAATCCTGTCATTTTTTATGGGTACTATGCTTGTGTTCCTATATCTTTTCCTTCCTGTTGATATAATGATGCATTATTTCATCAGCACCTACATTTGAATCTATCTATGATTTTGAATTGTGATTTTAAAAAGCAAATAGCTGAATTCCTTCATTAGTGCTACACACTCTTCCTACCTATCATTCCACGCTATTATTTACCTTTATACCAGACTGTGAACTAAGCTAAGTGTATTGTACATTTTTATTTACATCTGCCATTTTTACTCAAGTCTTTCCTAAAGTTTAAAAAACAAGAGGATCAATGGGCCTTACCCTGCCATGTTAATCCATGACATGTTGGCAGGGAGGTTCAATGTCATCTTTCTCCTAGAGTACTTGCCCAACCAAGGCTAAAGAGCCCAGTCTTCCATTAGCAGGAGGAAGAAGAGATAGCTTCATACCTTTCCCAAGATCATTAGTTTATTATTATATCATTAAATGAAGCAGCCTTAGCCAGAATTTGAACTCTTATCTGTTGATTCTATTTCCCATACTGATGACAACAATACCTGCATATCCACTATTAAAAATATATGACCACATTGCAGACAACATTGTAAGAAATATTTCTTTTTATTTATTGCTGTGGATGTTATGGTAGTTAAGTGGTTATCAGTTATGGATGAGTTATTTATCTTATGAAAACTTCCATTCATACCATATATCAGTATAATTGATTTGGTTCAACTGCTTTTTATGGTTTATCAACCCTTTACAGGTTATTTAAAGCCAGAAAATATTTTTACATTGTAAGAATTTTTTTGAGATAATAATGGTTTAATGATACGAGTCTTTGCATGTAAGTGAATACAACAAACATGACTGGAATTGGAACTCAATTCTCCAATTAACAACTCTGAGGCATTATCCATTACACCATCCACACATCCAAGCTTACAGCACTTGGTATTCCCAAGCAGTCACCCATCTATGTACTGAACAGGTGCTTAACTTTGGTGATCATACGGGAACCGGTGTTTTAACATGATATGGCTGTAAGTCTATAATTAATTTAGGCGTATATAATTGTGTAATAATTAAAAGAAAATGCACAGAGTGTTGATAAATATAAATAATAACTGCCACATGTGATGAAGTAAGGTAGGTTTGTTTTTAATATAGCAAGGATGGTTTAATTGTCTAAGCTATTTGTGCAAATCTTGTATTGTGTCTTTGGGTATGTTATGATGATCACATCATCAGAGAATGGAAAAAAATTAATTCATTGACTCTGATTTCAGTTGATTTTGCAACTGGTTATATGCACATATAGATCCTCTTTGAAAATGGCACTCTGCTTCTCATTTGTTCATGGCCTCATGGTTGTGAAAGCTTACTGATTGGTTGGTCATAATTATTTAATTTTAGAAATAGTGAAAGTTTGGTGAAAGTTTATATAAAGATTGTAATTTATTATATAAATTAATTGAATATATTAATAATAAATAATAATATTAATTTTAAATATTAATAAAATAAAATATTAATATGAATTAATATAAAATATTAATAATAAAATTAAACTAATATATAAATTATATAAGGATTATATATAAAGAAAGTATATATATATTTACTATTTCTATAATACAATTCCTAAACTTATCTATTACTAAAAAATAAAACAAACTTTTTTTCATCAAATCTTTATGGGGTCTACCCCCAAAAATTAAGAATAAAAGTAGTCCATGGGTAAAAAAAAAGGTTGAGAACCACTGACAATGTTAGAATAACACGTTTCTTAAGTTACAAGAAGTATTTTATAAATACAATCTAGAGAGAGGATTGTGAATTTAGTTTGAAACAGGATGTTGACTTTAAACGAATCATATTCATGACATTTATCAAATCTGAAGAGTTCTGCTTTTTGTTCTCTCTTTTATGACTGCTTTTCCTCTTTGCTCTCCACTATTCACTATTACCGAGTTGCCTTAATATACTTTGAGCCGTTCTCAGGAAATGAGTGCTTTCCTTTTCAATTAACATTCTGATTAACTCAGCCCAAAACCTACATGATTTATTTCAAAGAACTATTTCCAGAAGCTTCCAATCTTAAAACATGAATTCAAATAAATCAAAATTATTTTTAGCAAAAATAAACAGGAAGCAACTGCTTAAGATTTCTTCACAATAAGAAAAATAAACTCCACATTGTCTAATTTTGTTGTGACAATGATAAACACGAAGAAATTGTTAATTTTCTTTTTAAATCGACTGCATTCTAGACCATAGTCATTGTAAACTCAATCCTTTCATTAGCTACATAGTATGTGCTTCACCAGGACTAAATACAGTTTTTGAATTTAGAGTTGTCCTTCTCATAGACTGGTTACCACCAAAGGCTGAAGAGCCTAATCTACCCTAATATTTACTTATAGTTGGAAGCTTGAAATTCAGAGTTCTCCTTTTCCTAGACCAGTTGCCATCCAAGTCTATAGGACCCAGTCTGTCCTGCTATTTATCCATAGCTGGGGGGGGGCAGAAGAGATGGATTCATACTTTTCCCAAGGATACTTGCACATAAGTTAATGTAATGAATTTGACTGGAGTTTGAACTCAGCTCTCTGATTCCTCAGTCCAAGCCACTATCCATTACTCCACTGCCTCCACTAATGAAACCTACTATATTCTATTTTTAAACAAAGAAAGCCAGTTATAAAATATTTTTAATTGCAATCTGAATTTATTCACATAAACTAAAAGAAATCATCTTCTTTTACTCCCTGTGCTTTTTCTATAAATATTTTCATGGTAATTGTTCAGATGAGTTCTTCGCCATGGTACCTAGACTTTATGAATTTAAATGCAGTACTAGACGAGGTCTCATCAATTTACAGTTGAATTCGCTAGATGTCATTGTAAGCTCTATGCTAACAGTTGCATTTCTTGCTTGTGGAAATCTCTTCTTGTTCCATGCTTTCCAGTTAACTTTAATCTTCAAAAATTTAAAAGTAATGCCAATTACTTATTTGATGTCCTCCTGATTAATCTTCCTTTGTTCCCACTCCTTAGTAATGTTTCTGTTTTCTAATTCTTCCACACCCTGTAACCCTTTGTCTCTGAGGGGCTTTACTGCCTTGCTTGAGGTGAACTCAATTAAAAAATGAAATATGATTATATTGCTTTTTAAGAAGTTAAGATTTTTTAGCAGTATGCTTTTATCAATTGTGTCTGTGAAAGTTGAGGACTGAAAAACAAATCGTTGCATCCTTGTAGGTACAATGTAACAGGAGATACACCACTTTAAACAGAAGACTGCATTTACTCCTCACTTATTGGATTGTTAATTATGAATTACCTACTAAGGCTCTCAAAATCTTTCTTACATTCCTTGTTTTTAACCTTTGTGGTCATCTTGTTTTCTTACATGGTGATAAAAATGGAATTATTTGGTAAATTTTCATTTTAACACCCGAGTTCTAATATCCCTTCAAATTTTTCAAAAATAGTCTTATTTCCATGCAAATGTATATGCTGAACTCAAATCAACAATTAGATATTGAAGAAACCTAGCTTTTTGGATGTTAACGACCCACCCAAAAAAATCGGACTTTTCCAGGTCTTTCGTCAGCTTATTGATAAGTAATTCAGTGCTGAATTTTGTTGGTGGACATATAAAATTTGGGTCTATTTACTTCCTTCACAGTAATTCCTTGTAGTTAAATTTCAAATTAGGGTTAGGTGTTTTTTTGTTTTTTTTTGGTTATTCTTTTATTTTTTTTATTTTTTTTTAAGAAGAAAGTTAACTTTCAAATTAGGGTTAGTTTTTTTTTTTTTTTTTTTTTGTTATTCTTTTATTTGTTGATGTTTACATATATTTGAAAATTAACTTTCTTCTTAAATTAAGTAAAAAAAAAAAAAAAAAAAAAAATCGTTTTACGGAAGCGCGTACTAATTTCTGAAATAAAATAGTTCAGCAGTGAATGACGCTCAGGTGTTAAAATGAAAATTTACCAATTATTTATACCTACCTGACTGAAATATTGATATGCCATAAAACAATACTCATTTTTAGGTACCTTGTATAAATAATTAATGGACTTATTTTTAATTTAACATTTTTATTACTTCAAATGTTAGTGAATACTTGTATTTGAAATAGACAGCCTATTTTTATTTTAAACAGTGGGATCTTTTCTGTTAATTCATCCCAAATAAGGTAAAGCTACTTATTGCAAATATTAATTCACCCCAAGAAATTATAAATTTTGAATCAAAGTTTGTTTTTTATTAAATTTTTGGCACTCTTTTGAAATTATAAATTTTAAATCAAATTTTGTTCAGCTTGTCATGCAACAACTCCAACCAACAGAACGAAAAATTACCAAAAATCAGGGAGTTCTTCACATTTGTAAGTGTGTATGATATTTGAGGTACTTACACAGAATTTTTTGCAATTTAAAAAAAAAGAAAAAAAATCTGTTTTTGGCTTGTTTATTGGATGTAGACCCCCTCACTTAGAAATGGTGCACCTGAATTGCCCACATTTGGGATGATCAAAAAAGTCAACCCATCTGGAGTGCAATGGAAAGGCCTCGCTTTGGGAGAATTTGGTGTGAATTTTAGTAAATATAAATTCTTTTTATTTTGGGGTGAATAAACATCAAAGATCCAAACATGTGTCTGTTAGGTCTATCAGCTTGCACATTTGAGAAATTTCAATAATGAAAATGACTGGGATCAAACCTATGTCCATCTTTGTAGGAGAAACCAATGTTTGATCCGGTGTGCTTTACCACTCGGCTACAAAGAATGTCACCGCTCAGCAAGGCTCTAATTTACCTTTTTAAAGAAAGCACATTTGCTCAATCAGATTATTTTCATTGAAAGCCTATTTTTTTATCTTAAATATAAAGAAAGCAATTTCTAAAGAAATAATGGATTTATTTTTAATCTGACATTTTCATTATTTCAAATGTTATTATAGTGAATACTCGTATTTGAAATAGACAGTCCAATTTTATTTTTGTTTCAAACAGTGTATATTATGTCTATGACTCTGTTGCTGTATTCTTCTCTGAATGCCACTCTTACTCTGGTCTGTGTCTATTGATCTGTCTCCGGTGAGCTTGCTCTGCACTAATCCTGCACCCCCCCCCCAATATTGTGTTTCATTATATGCAGGAATATCAGTGAAGAACTGTCGAAGATCAGGCTTAACTCCTCTATCCTGTCTATGTTTGTGAAAGACTAAAGTCACTGGTGTCACCAGTAATCTTAATTAACTTCAGCAACACTCATTTACAAGTGTAAAAATAACAACTTTTATTTATGGTACTATGATTAAGATCATGAATATATAAACAAAAGGGATTTGTAGGAGTTTCCCCATATAAGGAATTCTTAAGTTGGGAGGAAGAGGATGACTGGTGGTTGCAGTTATGGCTAAACAGTCCAATGTTGTTCAACTATTTAAATGAAGGCAGTTGATTGAGGGAATTCAAAAAATGATGCAGAGAACAGGTCTCTAGCTAATTGAGGCACCACGATCATCTGGCAGGGAGAGTGTTTGTCTACGAGCAGTGAGACCAGTTTGATCTTACTACTCTGCTCTTTCAGCTTTTTATGGGGTAAAACACAATTACACTGCTCTGATTGGCCAGTCAATAATAATGCTTGACCAATGGTATTAGCTAGCTAATAATAATGCTTGATCAATGGTCTTGTGTCATATGCCTCGAAGGGGAGGAAGCAAAGCTCCCAAGAACTGAATATGATTGGTGGTTCAATCAAAATAATGGCCCTGTGTTGTAAGTATCATAAGTATCGGAGGGAAGACGAGAAGCTCCATCCCAGCCCTTTTCACACTGGTGAGCCAATCAAAGATAGTGGCTCTATGTTTGCCCTTATCCACTCTCAGTGGAACATTTTCCATGTTTCAGAATGTAACCCCTCATTTGACTTGATTATCACAGTCAATTATCATTGTCAATTCAATCTGAAAATGTGTTATATCCCTGATTAACACAAACCTGAGCTATAAAGATTCATTTTGTGT